GAGAGAGAGAGAGAGAGAGAGAGAGAGAGAGAGAGAGAGAGAGAGATTCAGTTAGTTAATCATGGGTATATAATTGTAGCTTTATTACCCCGACAATTTCCAACAGACCATTCGTCGACTACATCCCACTCATTACGATTTAATTTATCATTGTTAAACTCGTCGCCCCACAGCCTATTCAACTTGTCCTCACAATAATTACCATGAATTTTAATTATTACAAATATAATAATTGTATTCATTGTTGTATTTTCATCCTAATATTATTATTTGAACATGACTAAAATTCAATTTGTTCAATTTTGTTGCGTTACAAACGGATGTATTGCGGATTTAAAATACTGTCAAAACAATATTTTATGCTACATAAATACAATCCAAATTAGGTAAGTTGCAATTTCTTAAAATGGTTATAATGATTATTATCTAATAAGACATATCTAATATCTAATAATATAACATATACTAATAATTTTCTGTTACTAAAATAAACATTTTTATTTTATATTTAAATATTTATAAATTGTTATTTAATAATAATTTTATTAGATCAAAGTATTTAAATTTTAGTATATAGTAGAATCAATACAATTATGCAACATTAATTAAAGCATATCAAAAAATATAAGCATTTTGAAAGTAAACAAAAACGTTGCAATTTTTACAGAGTAGTATTATGTTGGTCAAGCATTTCTAAATAACCATGGCCTTTACTACCACGATTGCACTCATTGCCGACATCAGTATCGTCATAATTATCATCATTAATATGAGCATTATACTTGACACTGGTATCATTCAAAGTGATCTCGGTTAATTTATCATCATCACAATTATCATCAACATTAAGCAATGGTCTAATTCTGGCTTTCAAGAGCTTTTGCCTCACAAATGTGTACATGATAAATACTATTAATGCTATAAACATTAGACAGAATACGAGTATAGCAATTAGGTAGACGTAGGTCAGGGCACCGGTAACCGGTTGTCTGGCTTCGGTCTTCAATGCATAGGCCATCGCAGCCTCGCATATGTCGCCACTGTATAGCCGATCGGCCGGCAGTGTATTTATTACTGTAACGTTGTTTACGTATGACTCTCCGGACTGTAGTGCACTCCCCGTAACGTTGTCTACTTGTGACTCTACGGACTGCGGTATACTCTCTGTACCGTTGTTTACGTATGACTCTTCGAACTGTGATGTACTCTCTGTAACGTTGTTTACGCGTGACTCTAAAGACTGTGGTATACTATCCGTAACGTTGTCTACGTGTGACTCTTCAGGCAATAGCGTTGCCAATGTATGATTGCTACCTACCGGCGGTACCCATCGGTACACCCGAACGTAGTCCACAATAATGGCCGAACACTTCCAGCCCCGGTAGTCATCATCGGTCAGAGTTTCCCTGGGAAACAAAAAGTGTGTATTTCCCCCAACAGAGAGATTAATTACTAGCCTAAAGGGCCGGTCGAACGGCTGGCCCGGCCTCTCATACCACGCGCTCAACCGTCGGCCGATATCAAAGTCAATGCCCCGATTCTGGCGGTCAAAGTACCAGCGCATCCAACCCGGGCTCCACTCCAGCGTATAGGTGTGAAAGTCGGTCAAACGGGTGCCGTTACCGCCGATCGGGTACTTCCAGTTGTTGGCGCTGTACCTGACCGTAGTATTGGTTTCGTTATAATAAGCGCCGCCCACTATTAACTGCTCATGATGATTGCCCACGGTTAACAGCTCCTGGCGATTGGTCACCAGCTCGATGAACCCGTTTGTGGCCCAGGGTAAACTGCCGCTCACTGACTCCATGTATATGGCAGGTCTGAGCATTTTGCCCTGGGGCAATGATGCCCGCACCTCAAAACGCCCGTACGTCCAGTTCGCGCGACTCGTTATGATCGCCGATGTGTACCCTTTGAGTGCCTTTTGGCCATACGTTGACCACTCGCGGGCCGGCGTTATAACAAGTGTACCGTTGATTATCTGTAGGTTCCGGCGCTGATCGGCGTAACAGTTCAGTAGGTTTAGTTCCTTTGCACCTAGGATGTAATTATGGTATTTAGTAATTTTAATTAAGCTTGGTAGATGATATTTTGAAATAGGGTTGACCTACGCTCGCATTGTCCCCGATTCCACTCGTCCTCCACTTTCCATAGGGTTCTGTTGAGATACTGGCCGTCAAACTCGTCACTCCATACCAATTGCCACTCATTGGGGTTACAGTNATTGCACTCATTGCCGACATCAGTATCGTCATAATTATCATCATTAATATGAGCATTATACTTGACACTGGTATCATTCAAAGTGATCTCGGTTAATTTATCATCATCACAATTATCATCAACATTAAGCAATGGTCTAATTCTGGCTTTCAAGAGCTTTTGCCTCACAAATGTGTACATGATAAATACTATTAATGCTATAAACATTAGACAGAATACGAGTATAGCAATTAGGTAGACGTAGGTCAGGGCACCGGTAACCGGTTGTCTGGCTTCGGTCTTCAATGCATAGGCCATCGCAGCCTCGCATATGTCGCCACTGTATAGCCGATCGGCCGGCAGTGTATTTATTACTGTAACGTTGTTTACGTATGACTCTCCGGACTGTAGTGCACTCCCCGTAACGTTGTCTACTTGTGACTCTACGGACTGCGGTATACTCTCTGTACCGTTGTTTACGTATGACTCTTCGAACTGTGATGTACTCTCTGTAACGTTGTTTACGCGTGACTCTAAAGACTGTGGTATACTATCCGTAACGTTGTCTACGTGTGACTCTTCAGGCAATAGCGTTGCCAATGTATGATTGCTACCTACCGGCGGTACCCATCGGTACACCCGAACGTAGTCCACAATAATGGCCGAACACTTCCAGCCCCGGTAGTCATCATCGGTCAGAGTTTCCCTGGGAAACAAAAAGTGTGTATTTCCCCCAACAGAGAGATTAATTACTAGCCTAAAGGGCCGGTCGAACGGCTGGCCCGGCCTCTCATACCACGCGCTCAACCGTCGGCCGATATCAAAGTCAATGCCCCGATTCTGGCGGTCAAAGTACCAGCGCATCCAACCCGGGCTCCACTCCAGCGTATAGGTGTGAAAGTCGGTCAAACGGGTGCCGTTACCGCCGATCGGGTACTTCCAGTTGTTGGCGCTGTACCTGACCGTAGTATTGGTTTCGTTATAATAAGCGCCGCCCACTATTAACTGCTCATGATGATTGCCCACGGTTAACAGCTCCTGGCGATTGGTCACCAGCTCGATGAACCCGTTTGTGGCCCAGGGTAAACTGCCGCTCACTGACTCCATGTATATGGCAGGTCTGAGCATTTTGCCCTGGGGCAATGATGCCCGCACCTCAAAACGCCCGTACGTCCAGTTCGCGCGACTCGTTATGATCGCCGATGTGTACCCTTTGAGTGCCTTTTGGCCATACGTTGACCACTCGCGGGCCGGCGTTATAACAAGTGTACCGTTGATTATCTGTAGGTTCCGGCGCTGATCGGCGTAACAGTTCAGTAGGTTTAGTTCCTTTGCACCTAGGATGTAATTATGGTATTTAGTAATTTTAATTAAGCTTGGTAGATGATATTTTGAAATAGGGTTGACCTACGCTCGCATTGTCCCCGATTCCACTCGTCCTCCACTTTCCATAGGGTTCTGTTGAGATACTGGCCGTCAAACTCGTCACTCCATACCAATTGCCACTCATTGGGGTTACAGTCGATGCCGTATATCGTAAATATAAGTAAGATTATTATTATTGAATTAATAAACATTATAATGTTAAATTTAAAATTGTAAATACAATTACAATATTACTTATTAAAAAATTATAAATAATTATGATGGTTAGGTTTAGCATTAATGTACATATTTTATTATCCATAAATGGTAATTTTATTTTTATGATGATTTGCATAAGTATATTTGTTTCCCGTTATAAATATTTTCATATTTGGGCATGATATACCTTTTTATCATTTTATGATTAATATAAAAAAAATTTATTATATACTGTATAGAAAGTAAACATATACATCATGTTATTTTTACAAAATAATTTATCATACAAAATTTTCAGTTTTGGTATGGACAGTAAATGTACCTAATATTTACAATTGTCATACTATAATATTTGACAATACATTTACTATTAATATTATTTATTCATAATATGTTTGCTAATTAAATGTATATTTAATTTTTTTTACCAAACAGTTGATTGCATTTCTTATGTTTTAATATTTATATGGCTTTTCATATGAACTTTTAATTTATCATTTCGACCAAAACTTTTGTTACAATTATTGAAATGACAAACAAATGGTTTTTCTCCCGAATGAATGCGTTTGTGTCGAATTAAATGTGATTTGTATCCAAATTTTTTGTCACATTTTTCTTCATTACATTTGAATGTCTTTTCATTCAAATGAACGCAACTTTTGTGTCGAAATAAATCTTCTTTTGTTGTAAAACTTTTGTGGCATTCATTGAAATCACAAATAAATCTCACATTTAAATGAATGACATTTTTGTGCTGATTTAAGTTTGATAGTGTTTTAAAACTTTTATTACAATTATTAAAATCACATTTAAATTGTTTTATTTCTGAATGAATTAATTGGTGTTGAGTTAAACAATCTTTTCTTAATGTCTTGTATTGACATTTAGGCCAAAAACAGAAAAAATAATCATCAGATTTGAAATCACAAATAAATCTCACATTTAAATGGCCATTATTAATATGACGAGTTAGATTGCCTTTATGTTTAAAACTTATATTGCAATCATTTAAATCACATTTAAATTGTTTAATTGTTGAATGAGTTAATTGATGTTGAATGAGATGTTTTTTAAGTAGTGTCTTGTATTGACATTTAGGCCAAAAACAGTGTAAATAATCATTAGATTTAGTAATGATATGACAATTGTTTAGCATTTTATCACTGATTTTACATGAATTGCAATCAATTGTTTGATTGATTGAAAAATAATCATTATTTTCGCATTCAATCGCTTCACACAAAACACTATTATTTGTATTCAAAATACACTGAATTTTGTCTATTATTTCACACAAACTCTTCATTGCATTTAATTTAC